GTTGTGCACGAACAATGAATCATGGAACACTTCATCTAGAACTAATGATATAATGTATGGGGATTAACATAAGAATAAAAAGAAAAACAAAACAAAACAAAAACAAAAACCTTCCAGTAAGTTACACAGATTTGTAGTCCAATTTAGACTCTAGCTTCTTAGAATCAACCACTTTTCTGACTGCTTTCATGAAGTCTTCCTGTACTACAAAATCATAGCATTCTATTGAAGAGGGTTTCTTTGAAACTGATATTATTCCATTTATCTGAAGAATATAATTTATTTTTAGACGTTCCCATGGTGTAAAGTTTTTTAGCAGTTGCAGCATGGATGAATTTAAACGTATGATTTCACAGCCTGAATTTGAATGTCTTCACAATCAAATAGTTTCAGAAGTGGTTTACCAAGGAAGAAATTCACTTTGTGGCAATGGAATTTTGGAACCACCAGAACAATGTGATTGTGGTGGTACAGAGGTTAGTGACAAACATAATAGCTTATCTAAAGATTTTTCTTTGTGTTTCTTGTGTAGCCTTATAAATATAGATGTGATATAAAACAGAAAGACTTTTTTTTCCCCCAAATGCTGCACCATTTATCAAATATCTAAGGGAGATATTGGGCCATGTGATAATGGACTCATCCTGAATTTAAAGCATTTGAAGAGTTTAAGTAAAGGGTAAGTGTAGCATGGATTAAAGAGGTAGATTTTCTTCATTGTGTAACCATTAATAGCAATACCCACTTTTCTGTATTATAAACATGGTTAATGTCGATACTATTACCATTACCTCAGTCATCTCCTGAACTCCTCCAAAGTGACTGCATTGGTTCACTAAGTTATTACATGTGTATTGTTTACCTCCTCATCTCCTAATTTCCATTTTTGCAACTGTGGGATTTTTATTTATTTGAACTCAACTTCACAGAATTTGATTAATAATAGTCCTTGATGTGTTGTTGTTATATTTAGCTTTTTGTTATTACTTTTTTTTAAATTTGTGTTTGGTAAGATGGCTAATCATTGAATTTTGTTATAACTGCTTTCATATAATTATTAATAGTGATAATTTTGAGTATTTCATATTTGCTTGAGAAAATGTAAACTGTTAGGAATAAAATTCTATATAACTTGATTGCATTATAATTTTTAGGTTAGTGACTCAAATATTCTATATTTTTATTAGTTTTGTTTGCTTAAACTCTCAGTACTTAAGAAATAATATTGATACCTCCAACTATACAGTTGTATTTGCCTAATTCTCATTATAATTTACTCAGTTCATGCTTTGTATATTTTGAAGGTTTTTATATGGTGCAAACATATTTACAATTCTTATATCTTCCTAGAAATTTAACATTTACCTTTAAACACTGAATCTGTTTTTCTCTCATGTTGCTTTCTGTTTTAGCCTATCTGGTCTGGCATACATCTGTATCTGTGCACACACTGGCTTTCTTTAATTCGTATTTCCCTAATATTTTTCTATTTACATTTAGTTTTTCTGTACTTTTAAGTTCAATATTTTCATTGGGTTTTAATTTATTACTCATTCTGTGTTTGATTTATAAGATTATCCCACAAACATTATGACTTTTTGCCTATTGTTTTAATTAACTAGAGTCCATAATTTATTCAGATTTCATTTGTTTTTACCTAATGGCATCTTTCTGTCCCAGGATCATCTCCAGGATACCTCATTACATTTACCTGTATGACTTTTTTGTTGAGAGGGTGGAGAGGGATCAAGGTGGAGGGAGAGAGAGAATATTTATTTATTTATTTATTTTTATTATTTTAATTTTTAATTTTTAATTTATTCATTTGGGACAGAGAGATACAGAGAGATAGAGAGAGCAGGAGCAGTGGGGAGAGGCAGAGGAAGAGGGAGAAGCAGACTCCCTGCTGAGCAGGGAGCCCAACGTGAGGCTCCATCCCAGGACCTGGAGATCATGACCTGAGCCAAAGGCAGTTGCTTAACCATCTGAGCCACCCAGGCTCCCGTATTTATTTTTTATTATTAACATATAATGTATTATATTTTTCAGAGGTACAGATCTGTGATTCAACAGTCTTATACAATTCACCAGCACTCACCATAGCACATACCTTCCCCAATGTCAATCACCCAGTCACCTCTCCCTCCCACCCCCATCCACTCCAGCAACCCTCAGTTTGTTTCCTGAGATTAAGAGTCTCTTTTGGTTTGTCTCCCAGGAGAGGGAGAGAATCTTAAGCAGGCTCCATGCCCATCTAGCAGAGCCCATCATCACAGGGCTGGATTTCACAACCTTGAGATCATGATCCCAGCCGAAACTGAGTTGGACACTTAACCGACTGAGCCACCCCAGCACCCCTGGCTGTTACGACTTCTTATGGTCCTCTAGACTACATATTATTTATAAGTTTAGTTGTCTCAAAATTTTTATATTTCCTATGTTCACTTTGCTACATTTGTTTTTCTTTTTTTTTTTTTTTATTAACATATAACGTATTATTTGTTCCAGGGGTAGAGGTCTGTGATTCATCAGTCTTACACAATTCACAGCGCTCAACTGAATTTTTTCTTTTGATCTGTATGTTTTGTTTTTCTTTCTATTTTTGTCAGTGATTCAGTAGATACGTACTTTCAATCTCCCTTTAGTGATTATCCTTGTATTTTACCATATATACTTAATGTTTAACCATATCTGGGCCACATTCCCCCAAAATAACAGGATTTACAACCCAATTAACTTACATGACATTTTTGTAAAATATTTAATTTCTGTCATCTTTATTCTTTACATTAGAAAGTACTCCAAAGATTTTATTCAGAAGATAGTTGCTTTATTTTACCTACCATTCCTTTTATTTATTAAGGGGTTATTTTTTGCATGTAAAAGTTTCCTTCTGAAATAATGTCCTTTTGAATTATATTCTATTCCTTAAAATATACCTAAATATATACTTAAAATATACTTTATATATTCTCTTTATATATGTTCTCTTGATAGGACAGTTCACTGCCCACTTTTGTTTACCAAAAAAAAATATTTATGTCATACTCATCATTTCATTGTGATATATAATACACATGAAATATGAATGAAGAAGGTAACAAATAGATACTTAACAAGCACCTGAATAATTTACACTGAGGTCAAAACAAACCTTAGCTCTACCAAAGGAGCTCTTTGCATGTCTCTTCCTAATCACATGCCCCTTCCTTCCAATCATCATTTACAATTTAATGATGATCATTTCAGTGCTTTACTCTTCAAGATAGTTTATCTCTATTTTTTGCATCCTTATGCAATATACTTTGGTTGGCTGTTTTTTACCTTTATATTGCAATCATATGGTTTCTATCATTTGGTAACTTGGCCTTTCATTCAATATTATACTTGCAAAGCTCATCTATTTTTAATATAGCTATAATCCAAATGTTTTAATTGCTTTTAGTGTTAATTTTATGAATAGTATAGTTTATTTATTGATCTATGTCAGTGAAAATGTAAGTTTTATTATTAAGACTCTTGCAGTTAAGGCTTTCTTTTTGCAAATATTTCCTGCTGAACATGTGCCTGCATTGCTCTAGGCTCTTCCCCAATATGTGAATGTGCTATGTCCTGAGGTATATGTGTATGTATTTCTTTGAATTGAAGATATCTTACCTACTTTGGGTTTTTTTATTCTTGAATGATCTGTGCATGTCTTCCATACATTTTTTGGTTATTTCATCAGCATTCACTTCTGTAAATTATCAGCAATTTATCATTAGTGTGGTAGAAGGCTCAGAGGTATGCTGTTTCTCCAGTAAACCAAATTTTCTTGGCATGAGACAGGTCTTGTAGGGAGGACCCCAATGATCTAGTAGTTCAGGTGAAGCAGTAGGTGGGCTGGTGATATCTGTTTCTTATGGGGTGAACAGCCTCCTGTTTGTGAGGTTTACCAGTGTCAGAGGCCAGTCCGTTTATGAAGGAAATTTTGGGGGTTTTCCCACCCAATTAGATTGGATTTTTTCATAAAGAACTTTTAATGGGAATATCAGAATCATACATTTATTTCACTTAACTATGGAGTAAAGTTCTTTGGTTCCAATGAGCCAGTGGATATCAAAGGAAATTCAGGGCCAGAGGATGAAATCAGCTGTGTATGGTCAGAGATGCCTGCAATTTCATGAGATTGTAATCAGATGTAAGGCCCAATGACAAGGCTTTTTTCCCCAATTATCCTGGAGTGCTTTCAATGATCTTGTCGCTGAACTCCACCTACCCCCAATGAAATTTAGTTGCTTTTTTTGGTGACTCATATAGTGACATATTAAGAATATTATTTGAATTGTAAAGTCTGTCTTTAGTCATATATGTTTAAATTAAATAGTGTGCAGCATAAAGCAATAAAGTTTTTCAGTGCAGGCCATTATAAAAATGTTATGATTGTGACAGAATATCTACACACTCAATAGTATGTCACATTTTACAAGAATTAGTATAATCCAGAGAAGACACATAACTGTGGGAGTCCAGGACAGTAAAACTATGCTCTAAGCATTGCCTGATGAAATTAAAATGAATTTGGTCAACTTCCCACAATGGTATACAAAGTAGTAGCTATACTCTTTGCTCTATGCCAAAGACTATTAGTGGAAAAAATATTTTATTTATTTTTTGAAAAGATTATTTATTTATTTGTCAGAGAGAGCACGCACAAGCAGGGGGAGCAGCAGACAGAGGGAGAAACAGGCTCCCCTCTGAGCAAAGAGCCCGATGTCAGACTCCATCCCAGGACCCTGGGTTCATGACCTAAGCCTAAGGCAGACGCTTAACTGACTGAGCCACCCAGGCATCCCGGAAAAAATATTTTAATTATTGTTAATTTGTTGTTCACTCTGGGAACAATGGTTTCTGATTCTTGTTTATATTTCAGTGGTGTAATGCAAGCCTCTAACTACTCATGACTTCCCCAGCCCCAGACAGTACTTCTTTATTTTTTCCTTACATGCGACATTCTACAACTTTGAGGTACTTTAGTATAGGCAGTTCTTACTTTACCCAATCATTATAGAAGCTATGAATGTGTATCATGTTGAGAACTAAGAAAAAATTTATCAAGTGATAAAACTAACACAAGAACAAAAATACACAAAAGCCATAAAAAAACAATAGCCAGGTTAGTTCCAGTGTTTAATAAGCTCAAACATACATTTTCAGAAGGTGTTACCTGTTGTGAAATTTCAATCTATTTTTTAAAAAAATAGTTGATGATTTTTTTAAAAGTAGTAATAGATTTATGGCAAAATTGAGCAAATAATACGGTGAGCTCTATATAACCATCCCTCCTACTACCCCAATTCCAGCACACAGTTTTTCTATTATAAGCATCTAATGTTAGTGTTGCACATTCGTTATAATGGATGAGCCAGTATTGATACACCATGATTAACTAAATTCAGTAGTTCACTTTTTGTGTTATACAATTTTGAGGATTTTC